TGTAGTGTACATAGAAAGGTTTACTTATTTATTTTTTTTCTGAGTTTAGTGTATACAATATATAAAAAAAAAACTTTTTGTGGAAAAGATCACCGCATACTGAGTTTGTTGTTTACAAATGTGTAGAAAAGATCGCTGTATACCGAGTTTATAGTTTACAATTGTCTAGAAAAATCACTGTATACTGAACATAATATGACTTCTGTTTAAAACCTTCATTTAAACTTAGGCATGTAATTTTTTATGTATCTTAAAAGTCTGCCTATAACAATTTTGTGTATGCAATCTTGTACTAGGATATTGACATGACAAGATTACATTGCTGATCAAAGCATGGAAAGAATACTGTATCTAAAAACTGAATAAAACAAGATATAAGCATCTGTATCATGTTTTTTTTTAATTATTATTATTATTATTATTTTTCCATAATGTCTATCCACATGGAATTTGTAAGCACTCTTGTGCATTCTTATACCACCAAAAGGGTGGGTAAACTGGAATCAGGTTGTCTATCAGTCCATCCATCTGTTTGTCTGTCTGTAGACACATCTTGTCTGGACAACTCCAATGAAACTTTTCAGTAATATTCAGGACAATGTGTAGATGTGCATGCACCATTTTCCCTCGAAATATTGATTGCCATGGCAACTGGTCAATATAGACGGGTTTTGCTTGTCATTCAACTTCTAAACCTGTGGACCAATTTCAACAAAACTTTGCAGGAATGTTAGGGAACGTGCACATGCCGCTGTGTTTCAGATGATGTTTCTGTGCAAAAGGTCACCATGGGGAAATAGCTAAGGCTGTGGGTGTTGGGGGTATTAGTTATCAATTGGATTACAGTTTCAGTTATCCCTGGGCAATGTGGAGAGGATATAGTAATGATTTTGAGGATTGAATGTAGAGGTCGAAGTACTTGCATAAGTACTATATGATTACCTTGTAAACGCATTGAGACTAAGTATACCTTAATCAAATTTGGAACATGTATCCCTTATGAGGAGAAGTCGGTTTCTTTAGAAATTCAGGGTCAAATGTCAATGATCAAGGTCACAGTCAAAAAACGGATAGATGCATGGGGGTGTTCTTTGCATTACCCTCATTTTTCTATCAAATTTCACAACCTAAAAGATATTCACATCTTGCAAATTTCAAGGTCACTGTAAGGATGTTAAAAAATGATAATACAAGAGGAATAAAATATCTTGCGACAAGTTTTAGAGAACAAAGAATATATAAACATGTCAACAGAATTGTAGAACCAGCAAAACAAGTGTAAAATTGAAACAAAGACTATATCTACTCAAGATTCCCTGAAAAAGTACAAGGAGAATAAGACCAGGTGTTCCGGAAGAATAGGCATCTTCTATTTTATGTTATGGTGACATATCATATTTGTTTTAGAAAATTGGCACTCTTCTGCAGTCATTTACAGACAATCTGGAAAATGAAGCTGCCCAATATTTGTATGTAGCATGTTACTTGCATGATGGTCTAACTAATGGTCTTAAACCAATAAGATACGCAGTCTTTAAAGTGATAATATGGTGTCCAAGATCAACATTTCCTACAATGTATCCAAAGAAATGGACAACTTCCCTATTATTGCATCTTTGAGCCTACTTGGGACATGTATTGCATAAGTAATACTACTATGCTTGTTATTTCTGATATCTGCTGGTCATTTGTTATGGGCTGCAATGATTTACTGCTTGCATATAGTTGGTTTCAGTATATAGCAAGCTAATAACAAAGAACTTATTTTTTCAATGGTCTTAGCATACCAGTACTTTCAGTACTTTGATTATCAGAAACAGATTAACACATAGCTCACATTGAAAAGGTGTTCTCCAGGTTGAAAAAGCACAAGTTGAAGTTGAAATTGAAAAAGTATCAATTTTTCGAAACAGATACAAAATATCTTGGATTTGTTATTAATCAGAATGGCATACTGCCAGATCTGGACAAAGTTAAAGCTGTTCGAGAAATGGTAGCATCAAATTGTGTTAAAGAAGTTAGAGGGTTTATTGGAATGTGTAGTTGTTACAGAAGATTTAACCAAACTTCTCCAAAATTGCAGAGCCATTAATTACTCTGACAAAGAAATATGCCAAATTTAGCTGGACTCATAGTTGTCAATCAGCCTTTGATCAATTAAGAATGATCTAACAGTAGTTCTACTACTAGCTTTTCCTGATACAACAAAACCTTACGTGTTATACACAGATGCTAGTGATACTTGTATCGGGGCATGTCAACCATGTGAAGAAGAGGAGAACATATTACCTAATGTTAGGAATGAGAAGCCATTATACTATTTGTCTCATTAACTATCAGACACACAAACTAGATGATCTACCATAGAAAAAGAAGCATTTAGGATTCATTATGCACTACAAATACTAGACCATTTTTTGCACAATGCTGAGTTTGTAATCAGGTCACCAATGCAAAATAAGAAAATCCAACTTTGGGTCTTAGGTATAGCGGGATATAACTGTACAAAAGAGTATATAGTGGGAGTTGAAAATACATGTGCAAATTTGTTATCAAGTTTCCCTCTTAAGGAAAACAGATCGAGTGAAGATTTGACACCAGATCTTAGGCTTTGGAAATAAATGCATTGAATTCAAATAAATTCAATCCAAAAGACTTTGCTAGTTGTGAATTTGGTAAACCAGTGATGACAGTGCTGGACGTAGATACGCTAAAGCCAGGAGAATTAGACATGGCAGTAGAACAAAAGAAAGATGCTGAGATTTAGAGTTAAAGAAACAGTTGAATGAAAACAAAGTAAGCAAGTCATTAGATACAGAGCAAGTACTTGATACTGGATGATATATTGTATTATATATCCAATCCAGATGTTTAACCAGTGGTTAGACTCTATGTGCCAGATCCTTTAAGATTTAGATTAGTGGCACAATACCATGAAGAAAACAGACACATGGGTATTGACCAGACATTTGATGCTATTAGGACTAAATAATTTTGGCTTAATATGTATAAACAGCTTTATAAGTATATGTCAAGTTGTGTCCCTTACCAGAGGTGTAGTTTAAGAAAAACAAAGCCTAACCTATATACCAGCGTTTCCTTTTTTCGAAAATTCGGGCTCGATGTCAGTGGTCCTTACGAGAAAAGTATGTCAGGAAATAGATACTTAATCAGTTTTGTAGATTTGTACAGTGGTTGGCCAGAAGGAATTCACTGTTCCTGATAAGTCAGCAGAAACTATTGCCCGCTTACTTTTAGATCATATTGTACCTAGATTAGGGTGTCCCGTACAAATTATAACAGACAATGGGACAGAAAATGTTAACAGGGTAATGGAAGAAACTTTAGAATCACAAAATATTAGTCATGTGACTACTTCATATTACCATCCACAAAGTAATACTACAGTTGAAAGGTTTCACAGCACAATCCATGGTGTTTTGGCAAAGAAATTAGAAAATGACACGACCGCATGGGACGTGTATCTAAATCAAACTTTGGCAGCAGTTCGATTCAATATAAATGAATCATCAAAATTCACTCCATTCTATTTATGATAAACCGTGACATTGTAGTATCAATTGACAACTTATTTCAGTCATGTCAGAAGTATTTTGGGGAGGAACCTCACATGATTGCATTAGAAAAACAACACCAATCATTCACCCTAGTGCACAGATATATGAAGAAATCTAAATAAAAACAAGCAAAATATGCAGATCAGAACAGTAAAGAAACTAAATTTCAAGTAGGAGACCCTGTGTATATAAAGAACCATTTAAGGAAAAATAAGCTGCAAGATAAATGGCGCCCATACTATAGGATAGTAGAGCAAAGGACACCAGTGACGTTTATTGTCAAAAATCAGCTAGATGGTACTACTACAAAATCACATGCTGAACACTTGAAGTTAGCTAATATAAATGACTGGTAGATACCATTCGGTACATTCACCTGTCCAATTAGAAAACCACAGTTTGTAGTACAACCAGAAGATGGTTATGATTGAGATACTAGTTCAGATGATGCTGAGCTACCACCCTTTGGCAGAACAGCATAGAGATTCCGTCAAGAAAGGGATAATTCATCAGATGAAGATGATATTCCTTTAATTGAGTTATCAAAACATTTAAAAGAAAATCTAGATTAGAGTTGCAGGAACAGGGTAGGTCAAGTAACGATATGGAGCAGGATGCTTACCAAAGTGACCTAACAAGTGAAGATAGTTCAGATTATATGTCAGTTGATGAAGAAATTTAAAGTTTTTAAAATTAGTATTTAGCATGTTAATAATAGAAAGTATTAACGGAGTGAAAGAAAGAACTCTCGTAACCAATTGCACAATACTGTACGTGAGATTCAATCTCTTGCTCAATAACAAGAGTGTTTAAAAAGTATATTATGATTTAATTGTGATAAAGATTAATAACAAATTAAGAGCAAGCAAATAAAAATTAAAATAATCCTTTGAGTAAAGCAAAAATGTAACAAAATTTTAACAATTAATTTTTAATGTTATAAATTTTGAAGAACTGAACGCATTAATTTTAATTCATATGAGAATGAAAAGGGTCAGGTAAGCTAATCACTTTGTTGAGTTACTGATGTTGTCGGCTGAAGCTGAGGATGAGAGAACATCTTTAAAGAAGTTACCTCTGCACCAACCATTTGAGATAAGCAGCAATTCATGACGCTAATCAAAAATCACTGAAAGTTCAGGAAGGACACAGAATACTTTTGACATAATTAATCAAGAGTTGTACGAACATTCCATCTGGATGTTAGAAGTGGATTTTTATAAGGATTAAGTTCATAAAGTTCATTTTTTTCTGACAGGAAGTAGTCAACGAGAGACTAACATGTGTTGTTACACATGTACATTTACATGTACATGACAACAGCACACATGATCGGGAATAGGTTTTATAACACGGAAGAGGATTGGAAAGTCCATTTCTCCAACCAGGAAGAGAACTAAAATGACTATTGTGTTGTTCAAATTAAAGACAATAAGCTCATACAAATATGCGACACTTGTAAATAGCTTTGATGCATATTCGATGGATAGTATAATACATTATCTTTGATTGGTTCTGTCAGATGTGACATTTCCAAGACATTCTTTGTTTCTTACATGAATGTGAAAAGGTTAAATGGTTTTTTTTATCAGAACTGTTTAATACTATATCTGTTGTCTTGTATTATAGCAATATTAATGATTTTATAGATAACATGCTAATTACCTGGTATCAATTACGTATATGTGATACATGTATTAACTAGGAGTGTTTTGTTCTGGTGTTAAGTTATGATTTGTATAGTTGATATTTCAGAATTTGTATCATGTTATGATCAATTGTAAGATTTGTAGAGGGGAGACGTAGTACGTTGAAAGTGAATCTTGATCTAGGAAGTAATTTATATGTTACTTAATTGATATATTTTAAAGACATATATGTTGATGTATAATGATTTATCCAAATGAAATTATAAAACTTAGTTTTGGAATTAACCTTAAAAAAGTTGGTAAAATAGTTACTCAAAGAACTTTGATTTCACAATCAAATTTCTTATTGAATAGGGGACAAATGTAACAAAATAGGATTTATATATATTGTTACAAAATGTGGTTTCGATATCAGTGTAACCCAGATACATAAGTCAAGTAATCTTTGGCTGACTTGTTGTCGGATTAATTTGATCAATACGTAATATCTGGTAGACAGGGTGTGAATTATAAATGCACTGAAGTACACCCTGATATGAAACTCAACCAATGGGGCATTAGATCGTGACATCTCCACAATAAGATCTTATAGAGTATGGATAAAAGGAGGGGAGTTTTGGGTGAGAGAGAGAGCTCACTAGCCCTGTGGACAGACAGGTTACACCATGATGAACAGTATGAGGAGTGGGTATTTTAGTATATACCTTAGAAGTACTGTTTTAATATAGGTATAGGTATGCCTGTTTGATTTTGGGACTGATAAAAAAGACAAAATGGCCGACAAGCAGCCATCTTGGACATTTTCTTGGAAAAGAAGAGATGGATCTCTCTCAAATTTCATATGTAGGTTCCCCCTTGGACTGTAAATGTGCCCATGTAATTTTGGGACTGATCTGGAAAATAAAATGGCCAAAAAGTGACGATCATGGATTTTGACTTTTGAAAGTTGGTTTTCACTATTTATTGAGTAGTACTGTACTGGAAGGATCCTTTTTTAAATTTCATATGTAGGTTCCCCTTGATCCCTAGTGGTGCCCATTAGATATTGGGTCTGATCAAAAAGCAGTGGCTGACAGGTGGCCATATTTTATTTTGACTTTGAAAGTTTATTATTGCTATTTCTTAAGTACATGATAGATCTCTCTCAGATTTCATATGTAAGTTCCCCTTTGTCTCTAGTTGTGCCCATTTAATTTTGGGTCTGATCAGAAAAACAAAATGGCTGACAGATGGCCATCTTGGATTTTGACTTTGAAAGTTTGCTATCAATATTTCTTGAGAAGTCCTGCATAGATCTTTCTCAAATTTCAGTGATAGATTCTTTTTGGTCCCTAATTATGCCAGTTTGAGTTTAGAACTAATCAGAAAAACAAAATGCTTGACAGGCAGCCATCTTTGATTTTGCCTAGTAAAGATTGTTATTGCTATGTCTAGATAGTCTTTGCCAGCTCCGGTAATGTTAAATTTGTAAGGTCCACCATCTTTTACTGCAGTCACTGATCCTATCTATGTTAAAATATATTAAAATCTTCACGCAATGTTCAATAACCAAAAGGCCAGGTGTTCTGTTTGATGGGTTGGAGGGCTACCAAGTTTGTTAATGTAAATGACCTTGACCCAATTTTTAGATCACAGGGGTCAAATGTATTGAAATAGTTGAACAACATCTTCACAATTACCAAAAGCTCAGAGTGCTGATAATCATCCGTAGCATGCTGGGATGAATTATGGATTACCAATTTTGTTCATTTGATTGATCTTTTCTCTTTTTAAAAGGTTTTATAGGTTTTTATAGTCAGATGACCCTTAAATCACATCTTCTGCAGATTAATTTTCTTTTTCTAATTGATACATGTATATCAAGTGAAAATGTTGGGACAAAAAGTATTCTAATCCAGCTGTTAAAACAGTGAGGATTAATACATCAAGTTATATATATATTAAATAAAAAGATATTTTCAGTTTTCCCTTGCCAGGAGTTACAACCCTTGTCACTATATAATGTATATTATGGTCTGTGAGGTTGGGATTTCTTGCCAAGTCCCTGTTTACATGTAAATAATTTTATATGTTATTTAGGTCTGGCCAAAACAGTTGTATGAACTAGATACATTATGTAGTATATACTTGACATATTAAGTATTTTCTTATAGTTGCTTCATGAAGTGTAATTTGTAATGTAATTAGTTTAGTAACATGTAAAAACAATGCAAGCACTCTCTTAATGTATTCAAAAATTAAGTTACTAAAGATAAAATAAAAAAATAGTGTTTGTTTAGTAACATGTAAAAACAATGCAAGCACTTTCTAAACGTATTCAAAAATTAAGTTACTAAAGATAAAATAAAAAAATATGTTTGTTATGAAGATTTGGAAATCAATGAACTACATATGTTACCTGGTATTTATGACCAAACTTAACTGCTGGGGCCCATGGAAGGATTGTTGTCTTTCACATGTAAAACATTTTGCCTTGACTTAAATTGACTATTAACTTTTATCTTGGTTTTATTCATACTTCCCGTACCATTTGGTCTACAAATTGGGTATAATACATTTACTTTATTACAAGGTGTCCCATGGTTGATTTCAGATGTTGTAACCTTGACATTGACCTTTGACTTTACTAACTAAAAAATTGCTTGTTGTACTTTATTTCCTATCATCATTTGCCATCCCACTTTTCATGGATATAAAAAATTTGTTACTTAAATCTTATACATTGAAATAAATTATTTTGGCTCAGATTCATATGTTAGGATTAAGATTTAAAAGATTAGAAAAAATGCTTTATTTTAAAAGTATAATACTGTACATTGTTTTGCAGGCATGGCTATGAAGGTATCTTGTGGCAGAGGTATTGTTGTAACTAGTAAGGATTGCTGTGCTCAAGTACTGTACAGATATGGTAGTGCTTTCAATTCTCCTATAAGGCTACAAACATGTGCAACAAAAGTCAGTCACAAGGTGATATATAGGAGTATAAACATGACAAGAGGTAAGATGTCAAGTAATAAGAAAATGAATGAATGACAACTTTAATCTGCCATTGTTAGATGGGTCTTTAGCTCACCTGGTTCTCTCCTTTCAAAAGCCTTAGGAGTGGGGCCCAAAAGGCAAAATTTAACAAATTCTATAAAATCCTAATCATATGGAAAACTCTTGGGTCTTGGCCACCTGGGGTGTGAACTAAAACGGGAAATTGATCCCAAATTTAATCTGAAGCAATCTTAAGGAAACACCATAGGCATTTTAAGCCTCTTGATTGCTCAATGAAAATACCAGGCAATTTTTTTCAAACATTTTTGATTGATGATGTCATGTACTCTGTTCATGTAAATGTCTTTTCTTGGGTCCAGTTTGTATGGCATGTACAGTATGACGCAATAAGCATTGTGCAAGATAGCGGCCTGTTTACATTCACAACCTGAATAGGTCAGATTTGAAATGTGCTTTTTTCTTTTCCAACACAAAACAAAATGAACAGACTTACCAGATATTTTGTCAGATGTTCCTTTAACCTTACAACAATCTTTTGGGTTTGCCATTTACAGGGGTAATTGTTCCAACACCATCCTCATATCATAATGGCTATGCATCATTTACTTGGTTGTCACCAAATTAGGCCTCCAACCCTCCTCTCTTTTACGCCATACATGCACACGAGATTCATGTCCAATAATTACTTTCGACTCATCATAGAAAATGATTTTTTTCTAATAAATCTTTATTGGTAGACATCTCTTTTCCCTGCACCATGACAAATGTTTCTTCCTATTTAGCTCTCTTACAACAACCATTTTCCAGGCATTTGCTATACCCATGTTTATTAAGTAGGAACTGTATGTTTGGAAATGGGTTGGTTTGAATGTCATTTAGTAGATTATGATTTTCAAAAAGCTTTTCCAGTACGTAAACATAAGCAATGAAAACAATTTCAAATTAGAAAAAAAAGACATGATAATGTTTTAAATGATATCCAAAATGTATAAATATTACCATAAACATCTGTCGGATTGTATTCATCATCAGTATGAATGCAATATGAGTGCTGGATAAATCATTGTGATGTCCATAATCTGGCTGACTGTCATTGGTTGAATACTCACTGAATTATTAGGTCACGTAAGTCTCATGGTGACCTATTGCAATCACAGCATTGTGCATCATGCGTTGTGCATTCACAAACAATTTAACATTTTTGACTTCTCAAAAATTCCTGATTCAATTTCAATGAAATTTTGCAGAAACTTGTCGTGGCCTAAGATGAAAGAAAATGGTGAACTGTATGGTTCCCACCTCATAGGGACCTGAGGGGTGGGGCCAAAAGTGGTCAAATTAGCTTAAATTTCCAAAATCATCTTCCCAAGAATTAGATCAGGTAGAATCAAATGCTCTTCATAGATGGAAATGTGTGAAGGTCGTTTACCAAAATTGTGAATTTCATGGCCTCATGCTCTTGCGTTTCCTGGTATGTAAAGTTTTCAATGGGAAAAATAGATTTTTGGAATATAATTTGTTTAATTTCCATCGAAAATATTTCAAACTTGGTTAGAATTATGAATGAAGGATGATAGCTAGATGGTATGTGAATAGATTGATCCTGACTGACACCGTCGGCTGTTGGGCAGAGCCAAAAGGGGTCAAATTGATTTAAATTTAAAAAATCTTCCTTTCAACATCCAGGTATGGTTGAATCATATGCTCTTAAGGTGCTTTAATTACAAAAATGGCTCTCACATTTCTTCCTGGAGAGATGGTTAACTTTACTTTATGTTATATAGAAAAAACACATTTTTGAGCATAACATTGTTTATTTCCACTAGAAATAACTTTGAGTAAGATTTATAAGTACAGGATGACAGTTTTGATGGTATCCATGTAGTGACACTGGCTAACTATCATCAATGAAACTATACTTTTTCATGACAGTTGAAAACTACTTTCCCTTTAACCTTCAAAATTGCTTATCTCAGGTGACTGCCAAAGCTGCTTGGCCTCATCGTTTGAAGACAGGAAAAAGTTAGTTATGATCCATACTTTTGACATTAAGAAAAAATCAAAACAAAGTTTTCACACTGTCCCTATGTGTCACAACACCACAATAAGCTTCAAAGGGAAGGCGACAATGTCAGATGTGAATAAGTGGGTATTAGGTGGGTACTTCACTGTGAGTATGAATACCATGGGTAGCAGGAAGATAAACAAGGACTAAAGGTATGTTTGATGGAGATATTAACCACAACATACTCATACATTACCAGTTAAGTGTGTTTTTTATTCTGTCCACTAGTTAAATTTATCAGTTAAATTTCACTTTGTGTTCAATTTTTACTTCTCTGTTTCATTTTAATTTTAATGTATTCACGTAATGAACTGGTTAAAGATAATAAGTAACGGAAGTTCTGGTCAATTGTCCATTATATCTCAGTTAACATTTTTCTTCCCTGAGAGTACTTCAAGGGGAAAATTTAGATGAATTTTGACCAGATGAAGCCTCTGTGATGGAGGCAAAACTAGTAAACAGCATAAAACCACACTTAACTGGTAACACGTAAGTATGTTGTGATTAATATCTAAATCAAACACCACATTAAGTTGACATCATGTATCTGAGCACGCGTCAGTGCAATTGATTTTACGATTGTAATTGTGCAAATTTCTGTCCTTTTTATAACATTTGTAAATGGTCCTTTTATGAGAGGAATATAATTTGTATGACATACCTCTGCATAAGGCGTCCATTTGTCATCTGTTTTCTACAAATCACTTCTTGGTGGGTCTCTGCTCCTAGGGGCATGATGATGGGGGCAGGGCCCAATATTGGAAATTTCACAACTTCTTTAAAATCCTGTTTCTCTTGTAGAAATTATAGAATTTTGCCAAAATTTGGTCTGAAACTTTTTTTGTTAAAGGGGATTCACTATGGAATAAACAGTGAGTCGTGGCCACCTGGAGCAGAAAGGGTGGGCCCGTTAAGAGAAACAGAGTAAATTTGTCAAAAATCATTCTTCTGTTGGAATGTTTCAATTTTATCCAGATTTTAACTGAAGCATCTTTGGGTGAAGAGAACATAGTAATGTACAAACAATGAATCTAACCCTCTAGGGGAGGAAGAGCAGGAGGGGCTAGTGGAGGTTTTTATCATTGTTCTGATTTCCTTTGTTTCAGTCTAAGATGTATGTTCCATTGATGCTTTAAATATCCTTGTTTCAGCTTCATCATTCTTTGAATCAAAACTGTCAGGATGGAAGGTGACCAAGTCTAGTTATGTTGCAACACGGAACACTGGAACCATGGTATAACTAATTATACCAATTATTTGATTGTAAAGTGGATCCGCAATAATCCGGATTCCAAAAGTCACAATCCAGATGCAAATATTGGGTAAACATTAATCAATTTTACACACCACTCTGGGTATTCAAATAAATTGCTGTTCCAGAAATACTTTCGGGAATAGAATAAATGTTTTATAGTAATATTTGTACAATAATCTGGACATTTTTTGTTTCCATAAAGAAAATTTGTTATGTTTAGTCACCTGTGGCGTAGGTGTACAGCATACCACTAAACACTTTGTGTATTCATAGCAACCACTGCCAGACCATTGCTCAAACTTAGGTTAGAGAGTTAACAGTACATCTAATAATTACAGGATAAGGTATATTGATTTTAAAGAAAGTATCAAAGTCTTGGTTTGGCCTTGCTTTCAAATATTTCACAATTTATATTGAATTATTAATAATATATACATGGCAAATTCTTAAATATGTTTTGTATGATTTTGAATGATGATAGTAACTGGGATAAGACCTATTGTTTTTGTTATGCTTCTTATTATTCTTCTTCCAAATTTGTAGGTTCGTAATCTTTTAAACGGTAAGGGATAGGCATGCAACCTATATATTATGTTCTGGAAGTATATCTGAACTTGTTAATGCCACATTTTGAAGTAGGTCAAAACTCCAATATGGCCACTATGACCCAATTACCAGAAATTTTGAAAACAGCACTAACTCAAAAACCAATCATCCTACAAATTTGCTATAATTATATTTTATGTAGAGGAGGATCATATCTTCATTTTAAGCTCACCTGGTCCAAAGGGTCAAGTGAGCTTATGCCATAGTGCGGCGTCCGTCAACTGTCCGTCCGTCCGTCGTCCGTCCTGCGTCTGTCAACTTTTCATTTAAACAACTTCTTCTGAGATACCAAAAGGCGTAGAGTTATCATATTTGGCTGGAAGGTTCCTTTGATGAAGCACAGCAAAGTTTGCAAAAAGAAATGACCTTGACCCATATTCAAGGTAACAGAGGTCAAATGTGTTAAAACCTTTAAACGACTTCTTCCAAAATACTGGATCGCCTAGAATCATTATATTTTCTGGAAGGTTCCTTTGATAATGCCAAACAAAGTTAGCAAAAAGAAATGACCTTGACCGATATTGAAGGTCAAAGAGGTCAAATATGTTAAAACCTTGAAATGACTTCTCACCAAATATCAGAAGGCCTAGAATCATTATATTAGGCTACTATGTTCCTCTTATGGTGTCCTACAAAGTTTGCTAAAAGAAATGACCTTGACCAATCTTCAAGGTCAAAGAGGTCAAATATGTTAAAACCTTGAAATGACTTCTCCCCAAATACCAGAAGGCCTAGAATCATCATATTAGGCTACTATGTTCCTCTTATGGTGTCCTACAAATTTTGCTAAAAGAAATGACCTTGACCAATCTTCAAGGTCACAGGGGTCAAATGTGTTAAAACGTTTAAACAATTTCTTCTGAAATATCGAAAAGACTAGAATCATTATATTTGGCCAGTATGTTCCTTTTATGAAGTCCAAGAAAGTTTGCAAAAAGAAATTACCTTGACCCCCCATAGTCAAGGTCGCAGGGGACAAATGTGTTAAACCTTTAAATGGCATTTTCTGATTATCCAAAACATCTAGGATAGTGATATTATTCTAAAATAGGTTCTCAATGGGATAGTGATATTATTCTAAAATAGGTTCTCAATGATGCCCAGTAATATTTGAGAACAGAAATGACCTTGACCCATATTCAAGATCACAACAGTCAAACGGTCAAATGTGTTAAAGTTCTGTTTAACCTAAAGGCCTAGGATCATAATATTTGGCAAAAAGGTTCCCTTAATGGTGCCCACATAGTGTATGAAAAAATAGCTTGACCCATAGTGATATTTAAGGTCATTGGGGTTAAATTTGGTAAAATAGTTAAACAACTTCTTCTGATTAACCAAAAAGCCATCATATTTGGCCAGTAAAGGCTTATATACAAATATGTAGAACCTTCCTGACTTAATGAATGGGACATATTTGGCTGGGAGTTTTCTTGGCATGCTTTGGACAAAATTATGTAGACCTTTCACAGCGGCATCACACTGCTCCCAAAAAAAAATAGATTGGGCCACACCCACTGGAGGTCTGGAGGGCATGGGATAGGTAATGTTCTGCTTGGGATTAGTAATGTTACACAGTGAAAAAATATATGTGAGCCAGTTACTAATGTTCTATTCACAGCATTAAAATAAAGGAAACTGTTATTAGTATATCTCCAGTAACCGGGGCTTAACTGACCATGGTGACATCACTAATGATATGCATGGAATGTTTTATTATTGGTTTTGAGTTCGGATTATGGTTTATAATTACATGTACCTTAATTTTTCCTGTCTTTATATTTAATTGTTACTATTTATTGTTGACTTGTGCAAGTCTCCAATGTGTTGTATCTGTGTTTGTAAACAATTATCTAAAGGGCAAGTAAGCTTCTGAAGTCCTCGGCCATCCGTCCAGCTATAACTAAGAGTTTTTCTGCTATATTGTTTGACCATCTTCTTTCCTTGATTTAAAAGAAAGCTATCATTTATATTTAACTGGAAACATGAGACAGTCTCAATTCAACATTGCACAGATGAGGGGGCTGACTACTAAGGGACAGAACCCATATGGAGTAATTTGTCATATTGCTTTAAGCATCTACTGTGGAACATATGCACAGATATTGTACAGTTGTTCATAAAGATCCAGGTGAGTGATACAGGCCCTCTGTGATTTTCAACCTTTGTTGAAAAAACAAATGGCCACCATAACGCCATATTTGATTTCTGCCCAAATGTCAGTATCTCAATAATGACATGACAGTTTGAAATCATCTTTTGATATGTTATGTAGAAATGAAAATAAATGGCACTTCTCAAAGTATATTTTTGTTTAAAACATCAACTTCTTGTTTTCGGTAGGGGTCAAAGTTCAAAAGTGCAATTTAGGGTACCAAACTACCAGAAACTTCTTCTCAAGTTTGGAAAGGTCTAGATGTTCGATATGTCGCATACATAATGCTAATGTAATCGCCAATAAGGTTTGTTTATATGAATGACCTTAAATGATGTTTTCTTACTTTTTAAGAGTAAAATAGTTACATGATTTGGTTAACAACCTCCTGTAGAAACTTGGTTAAGCAAAATTTCCACAAAAGGCCAACTTCTGGTTTTCCAAAGGGGTCAAAGTTCAATACTTAAATGTAGAGTACACATGTATATGAAACGTCTTCTCAACTTTGAGAGGACCTAGAGACTTGATATATGACGGCAATATGATTGTCTATTATTGTTGTTAAAATGGATGACCTTGACCTACTTTTAAGGTCACTGGGGTCAATTATATTTATATTAATAAATGATGTTTTCAAACTTTTAAAGAGAAAAACAATAACATAATTTAGTCAGCAACCTTCTGTGGACATTTACCTATGATTGGTATAAGTAAAACTCCCACAAAAATCCAATCCGGTTTTCCTTAGGGGTCAAATTTCAAAACTTCAATTTAGGGTACCAACGTTTACGAAACTTCTTCTCAAGTTTGGAAAGACCTAGAGATTGATATCTAACACATATAAAGTTAATATAATTGTCTATAATTGTTGTTAATATGGATGAGTTCGATCCACTTTCAAGGTAACAGGGACAATCATATAAAAAATTCCGAAGAATTCATTTTATTTTTTTAGAAGTAAGCAATTGTGACATTTCCTTAAAAACCCCCTGTGGTCCTGTGGATACTTACTATTGATGACAATAAGTAATGTTTTCCAAAAATTCAAATTCTGTTTTTTTCAGTACAGTTCAAAATTAATGTTATTCAGCTAATTTTGGAAATCAGTATGTTCAGTGCTTTGATCTCTTACTAATGATGTCTTCTGTACTTTTATTTCATACAGAGTGCCAATGTATTGCAGGCATTACCTTTAATCACAGGCCATTATAGGTGAAAAGTCTGTCAAAATTGTTTATGACAATTTCTAGTTTAAGTGTAAATGGTTTTGCAATAAATTATAGAAAAAATGTAGTTAATACTTGATAAAAATACTATTATGATTAGACTAATAACTAACGATTTGGCCATTAATTGTCCCTCAATACTTCTCCATATTTATAAAGTAAAAAAATATGGCACAGCTTTCTCTGCTACCATTTGATTGATGCATATAAATGTGAATGGAGAGAAATCAAATATATTCATTTTCAGCTTTTGAATTCGAGTATTTTATTGCTTTCAACTTGTGATCATGTAGGTATGTGCTTATGATGCAGTCAAATGAATGACTCACTTGAATCTGTAGACAACAATCAGTCTTATTTATCAAGTAATTAGCATCCAAATTTTGTCAAAACATACATCAATTCAGAAAGCATCGGTTATTAAAGTCTTTTCAGTAAAACGTCATTGATGATACCAAGCAGACATTCAGTGAATTGTCTGTTATATTAGACTTCAATGAAAATCACTTTGGAAATTTTAATTCATATACAATTACATGTATTTTTGACAATGAAAGACATAAGTGCTTGTATTCACATTATATACTATACACATTCTGAAAATGAACAACAGCATCATACTGACAACTTTATTGTCATATAATCAAGGGAAATAACTCTGGTAGTCTAAAATAAACAGTCTTGAAAACTTTTGATTTGGCTGATTTTGGCAGCAAATGAAGTTGTCTAGCTAATCAAGGGTAAACTGTAATCTGTCTTTGTACCTCTTCTTAATGTTCAGTATTATCGGTTTTTAGCTCAGCTTGCTCTACAGGCAAAGTGATTTCAATATGGTACTTTGTAGAGTCTATTGTCCATCTGTCTGAATTTTCTACAAATGGTTACTTGTCACAAATGACTGAAAGGATTTTTGAGTTACCTTGGACAAAGTCTGATAGAAGGTTTCTGCAAACTTGCATTTGAAAATTTTTAGGTTTTCGATGCATGATCTCCGACATATGGCAATTGGAATAGATCAAAAGATTATAACCCCTCAGAGGCTTGATTGGTGGGGGCCAAAGGGATAAAAATTTCAATAGTCTTCATCTCAGCTCCCAGTTTTTTTTATATTTTTCATGGATGGGAGGGTCTTAAGGAAGTGCTTTACCAAAATTATGATTTTCGTAACTCCAGGGGCTCACATATTACTAAACCCTGCAGAAGAAGAACAATTTATTACAGTTTATATTGAAAAATGACCCTTTGAGCATAATTTCTTTTAATTAAGACATGGTTAGAATCTTTATTAATTAGGATGGCAGTAAGATATTATATTATGCACAATTTTACATTTGCATTACAATGATGTTCAAGCTTTTTACTTTATTAAAAAGATTTTTTGTATAACATGTTAGAGGCATCCTTTGGATAAGAGGAGTTAATTTTTATCAATACAGAACAACCCAACAGCAGGATTAATTCAACAACAGAGGTTTGTGAACTTTTTTCATAATGAATTTTAAGATATGGAATGGCCACAAATATAAGGATTTCAGCTCATTGCCTCTTATTTTAGGGTTCGAAGACCAGCCATGCAACCAATTCTGACAATAGTCTATTGAAAAACTAAACAGCAATGGGCTGCTAAACATTGAAACATGGAGTTGCATCAGTTGCCCAACATGACTACTTTGGTGGTGGGTTCCGTGATAGTATTGGCAAAGGATTCTGAACAACTATCTACTACAGGGATGAGATATTAAATGCACCCTATTGTTAAGCCCATTGCAAGAGCATTCCAATTTTATGATAATGATCATTCTCCCCATGCTCGTAATAAATGAGTTCTTCAAAGGAATGCAATTCAGCTTATGACCAAGAGCTTATGACAACACTGTAAGAGAAATGGCAAAGTATCCCACAGATTAGTCATGGATGATTAATAAGAAGCATGAAAGATGTTGTAGGACAGTTGTCAGGTTCTACGGAGGTTATATTCGCTATTGAACCTGTAGTATCAATTTCTGGATTTCTTATTGTCCCTGTGATCCAAATTCTGTGTTTTTGTGAAGACTTTGATTTATGTGGTATTGTTACTCCTCATTTTCACAAAGGAAATAGGAAATCTGAATGTGTAATGAAAGATTAGTATTTTGACCATATTCAATCAGTAGTATCCGTCGCGAACTGGAACCAGTGTCTTGAAGCCTGAGGGATTGGGTCCAATAGGAGAATAGAAATTTAATGAGAAATTTTCTACTGTTTAGAGGTGCATACGGCCCAGTTTTGGAAATAGATATAAATCTTTCAAATCCATTTTTATTGGTTTTGAAGAAACTTCACCCAAACCAATCCCCCTCTTGGCCCTTGTGTGAAAGATGGCCTTCTTTGGTTTTAAAAGTTACTTTGAGCTATTGCTTCTGGTGCACCAACAATCATATTCATCACATATCCATATGTAAATCATGGTATTCCAGTAGAATATTTCAGCTGAAACTTGCTTGGAATGATCCAGGGGTGATCCTTATCAAGTGTTTTTAGGGTCCAAATGCAAAATCATTGCTCTATGTCTGCACTCTTGTAAAAAAAAAAACCTAACCTAGCTCTTTATCTATTTATCTGTTCATCCTGCCAAATTTCACATGTAGGTTCCTCTAATACATTAGCTATCTTACATTATTGTATATAGTTTGCTTTGAGAATGGCAGGTTTGACCATTCTGAAATTTCATCAAATTATTTTCCTTGGTCCCTTTTGCATTGTTTAACTTTTTTGTCTGATAGGAAAAACATTTTGGGTAACAAGTTTTGCATTACAATATGATTAATTCCTATGCTGATACTGTCAACAGCAAATAATTTGAGAAATTTGAGCAAGGAGGAGGGAAGAAAGGGAATAGATTCAACTGATAGATAATTAGCTAGTACAGATATGGATGGCACTAAGGAAATAAAATGTAGATGTGTGCATCATGAGAAGAGAAATAATTGGAATATTGATGTTTTACTTCAAATACTACATAACCATATGATATTGATACAGACTCTTGAACTTTTTTGTATATAAGTTACCTTTTTAAAGTTTTGCTTGTTATTCCTATAGAATTCGCCAGTTGGACTGTCACTGGGGGAAGCAGTCTGTTTGCAACCAAAAATATCTCACAGCAAGAATGGACAGGAGGTAATCTTAAAGTGGCTTGGTGGGAGAGAATTGAGGTATATATAGCAAGTGTAATAAAAGTGTATATTTAAACTAACATCCAAATTCTTAAGGGTAGAGTATGTAGATAAAACAGTACGCTTTCATCCAACCCAGGGCCCAATATCCACAGGAACTGACATCATATCACGACACTGTCTCGGGTAGCCAGCCAGCAATTCTAACACTTTCAGAAGCTACAACACACCACAACACTGTCACAGCTGTTCAACCCAGTGCAAAAATATTTCTTTGAGCTTACATAACACCACACCACTGTCACAGCACTGTGCCAAACTATTTTCGAAGGTTACATTCTAAAACAGAGTAATATCACAGCCATCCAGTCCAGTGCCAATATTCTCAGGACCTTTCATAAGACCACAACTCTGTCACAGCTATCCAGCCAGTACCAGTATTTTCTCAGGTATCCCTTGACATTAGAAAACTGCAATCAGAACCTCCCCTACAGTCTTTATTTCCTGATTATGTTAAGGTAAAGCCTTAGTGTATATAGTCGCATTGTCACAAATAAGGAACTCAAACCTGTTTCAGCTTTCTGCGGGCCATTCTCAGAAGGGGGTCTATGAAATACATTGCTTTCCATCGACAAAGGTTACACCATCATTTGGACTATAACCATGAGTACCACACCTGTACCTTTCCTTTTGCAATTCCCAGTTGAAATTGAGCACATGTAAAACAGTACTCTACCACATCATTGTTAATGGCTTTCCTGACCTGGTACCTTTTGTTGAGCTATCAATCAAAATGGTTTTTTCTTAGCCTTTCTTAGCCTAGATGCTAGGAACCAATATCTATAGTGAAGACTCTAACATGTCAACCTGATTTTTCCCTACAAAGAAACCCAACAACACATGTCTTCTTCTGCCTCTGTAAATAAGTGGGTTTTTACATTATACCATGATATGTTTCGTGCTGTCATATGAATGGTAAATTATTATAACAAAATGACTGAATTAAAGGGAAAGTGTATAATCGACCATAACAATGTTTTTTATCAATGAGTATTTCATAATCTTTCCAATATGTATTACTATGCTTTTTGACCTATACTTTCCATGGTGTAAGAGGTTTTTTCATGTAAAACCACTTTTCTTGAGATAATACTTACCATAACTTTAGTATGCAACTATGGTACCTACACCCAACTTTGTATCCCAAAAACAAAAGATTAAAAAATCCCGCCCTAGCTCCGATCCATGAGCCATCACGGCAGAAACATAGAGTGATCTCCCTTCCACTAACAACCTGTATGGAGCACCACAGAGGGGCAGTCAGGCAGATAAGAAAGAGTGGAGGATAGTGTTGGACTCCATGAAATTATGGTAAGTATTACCTCATGAAAATTGGTTTTACATGAAAAATCTCAATTTCATTTCAATAATAAGTACCATAACTTTTAGTATGCGAATTTGTCTTACCGTAGTGGTGACTAGATGCCAGACAGCCAATCCAACAAATACAGGCCTTCAGAGTGGGAAGCTAGGGATCACAGATAAAAGTCTGTGAAGGTATCCCTGCCCTGCCAGAAGGTTGCAGACATGACCTCCTGAAAGGAGGACCCTTTCAGGAGGCCCCAGAATGCAGCAAGGGCCTTGACCATGTTTAGATTGTTATCATTATTTTCATGTCACCTGATATTTAAAGTCCCAAATGACCTATTGCAATTGCTTTCATCATGAAATAGCTCACATTTGACCAGTCAGAAAGCTGCATTTCATTACTGCAATAGCGACCCCTGGCCACAGCCTGGACTCATCATTACTTGTCTTATTCATAGTGATTTTAATGAATTTTCCCTGTCCATACTTATGATAAACTTATTTAGACTTTAGAGTTTCACTCCTGATACTTATTTCAAGCTTTGCCAGTTCACTCATTTGGAGGTAGAATTACCATCACAAGATTAACTCATGATTATTTTATTATACCTTTGTCTAATGTCTGTCGAAAACTTCCTTTGTCACACTGCTGCACAGTTCCAAAATCCTGTGGAATTGTGTATGACTGTGCATGATTTTGCACTTACGTTAAACAAGGATATATTGCCCTGAGGTTACCTGATACTAACAAGATAGGTGCTATCGTTTATATTATAATATTTTTGTGAAAGAGAGTGTCATTGGTGTTTCAGGTCTAGGGTTCTTAAATATCAGTATTAGTGTAAAGCTTTGGTATCAATTGGGTAATGTGATTGGAATCTAACATCGATGATGTGCTGTTGATAACTTCACCCTTTTTTGAAAATAGAGGATGAATTACGTTCATTTGAAGGATTGTTAGCCATTGTGTTTCATCTGTTTGCTGTGCGCAATGCACCGTCCGTATTGCATTAACTTTTCATTCAAATGACTTCTTTTCAATAAGACGAAGGTCCAGTGTACTGTTATTGGGCTTGTAGCATGATGGGATGAAGGGCTCGCAAGTTTATTAATATAAATGACCTTGACTTGCTTTCAAGGTCACAGGAGTCAAATATGTTAAAATCTTTAAACTACTTCTTCTCAATAGTGAAAAAGCCTTGGGTGTTGATATTAATTAGGCCAGGAACATGATGTTATAAATAGGTACCAAGTTTTTTATATCAATGACTTTGACCTACTTTCCAAGTCAAAGGTGTCAGGTATGTCAAAATCTTAAAACAACATTTTCTCCTTAATAAAAAAAAGGTCCATGGTACTGATATTGGGCTTTTAGCATGATAGGAAGAAGTGCTACCAAGTTTGTAAATATGAATGACTTAATATATTTTCAAGGTCACAGGGATCAAATGCTTAAGAAAATTCTTCTCAATAACCGAAAGGCCAAGGGTCTTGATATTGGCCTATTTTGCCTCGTTCATATAAAGGTCTTCATAGTCAAATGCCACAGGCCTGGTCCTAGACCTTGGAGCATTGGCTTTTTCAACGTAGCTGCCATATTACCTCACAACTTTATTGTTAGGTTTTTGGACAAAATCAACTCTTCGTGCTGGACATGTATCAATTTCAACTAAAATGTGACATTACTTCATAATTCTTGGACTTAGATATCAACTCATTAATGTTGCTCACTAGTGTTTGGCCTGAGTTAACTGTTATTTGCTTGATGATTTCACCTACTAAGTCAAACAAAGTCATTTATAATAGAAAATATACTGATTTTCACAGAAAAATTGCCCACTGTGTGCGAAATCAAGGAATCAGAACTGAAGATTTGACAATTTGTAATAGATGTTTAAAAGAATATCATCAAAACTGTCGTAGCAACCACTTGTATATAATGACCACTTTTTTGAAAAATTTGAAGAACATTATTGTTTGTTTCTTACAATCATGAATTTTTAATGAATACGAGTGCATCTTGCATACTTCATTTACACATTGTCGATACTGATGAGATAGAAAGCATCAGTCATGGATTACCAGGCTTTGTTGCATTTTTTTTTTACTAGCATAAAATTTTATCCTGCAAAAACATTTCATGTTTTTTACCTTGTAAAAAAAAAGCATGTACAGTAATGTAGATGTAAATATACCTATAATTAGAAACTGCACACAGTGTAGTGAAAGCTTCTTGGTTCCTTGTAATATTAGGACAGGATTGTTGTCAGAAATCTTTTATAACAATTTGACATTGCAATCATATTACTCATTCAAAGCAAGCAATGACCAGGTCAGTTAAATCCTAATTAGCTAAAACTAATTAATGAAGACTGTTAGATGGCAAAAAACAAGATCTTTCTATGATCTTTGATAATATCAAGACAAAAAAAGTTCAAATAATGTCCAAACAGTATATACCAGAATGTGACACTCAAAAGGTGTTGGTTAAGGATGTAATGTTTTGTGCATTAAAGAAATCATGTTTCAAACAGACTAAATATACAAAAAGTATTAAATTTGATGAAAATTGCAGCTTGTTTGTTTTTTGTGTTGCCTAGATTTGCCCTGTGACTTTGGAGTTATGCTGTTGACAGCATGCTCTAGCACTGTTATTTTTGGACTATACAAAAGTTGAAGATTTTAGAGAAAAGCATTGATGACCTTTGACCAAGTGATCTTACAACTTACAAAATCTTTGCATTACCTTCTTAGATCTTTAAAATGTATTTGCCTACACAAGAAGTAGATGGTTTCCAAATTTTTAAGAATTCTATTGCTTTTTCAGTATTTTGGCTGAAAGAGGTCGCAAATTTGGCTATTTTACTCAAGCTACTCTTCGAGACAATAAAACGATATTAAGTACTTGATAAAGAGATAATTTGTTATTCATAAATTTTTAAGAACTCAAAACCTAAGAATGTTAGAATCATATACTGTTCAAGGACAAAATGTTCTTATGGTGCTTTACCAAAAGCATAAATCTCATTACCCTACCTGTGTCACACATTATACACAGTATGATTTAACATGGTTCATAAAATGGAAATAATTTAAACTTTGATAGAAATATGAACATGGGGTGGCAATTAATATTTTACATTTGCATTACAAGTACATTTTAGTTCAAGGCATCTTTATTTTAGATTACTATCATGTATTACAATAACAACAAGGAGAGATTTTTATAGCACTTGAATGGGTGACTGCTTGTTTGATAAGTGAGTTGTAGGTTTCCATGGTGTTGAATGTTGTTCCTCAGATAGATGTTATCTTATGATTTATTTTCCTGTCAATATAACATACAATGGAAAGCAAGAGAAAAGAAGAGAAAACATTTAAATCATTAATAATTAAGATCATATAATGGTGAGTATTGTTAACTTATCAAATTTAGTTTTAATCTTTGGGATATTTGCTTTTTGATATTGCAGGTTCCATGCTGTGTGGTTACGGTATAACTGTCAATGTCCAGAGTGTGTCCAGCCCTATTCTGGGCAGCGACTGTTGGAGGCAGGTGAAGTAAACCCCGACATTACTGTAGAATCAGCATATGTCAGTGGTAAGTTGACTGTAGCATTAGAGAGATCAATTTCATTGACTGGAATTCTTCTCCATCATCATGTTACATTAGATTTGATTTGTCAGATAAATAGTTAGATCACTAAAATAACCACAAATCTTTGAAATGGTAGGAAGTTTATCAGTCACCTCATAACTGAATAATTTTGGTTCAGTAAATTAGAAAAAAATCTTGAAAAATAAGGTAAATTCTTACAAATATGCAATTTGATGTTAGGATGTTGAATATTAAATTTCAGTGACACCAGATCTGTCAGTTCTCTGAGAGAGCTGTGTAATCAATTCTCAATTTTTTTTCTTCTCTTGATCTTTTCCGGTGATGTTCGGATTACTGCAAGGAAAGAAAATGATATTTGAATAAGTTAACAGAAGTCTTTCATTGAATAGTTCCCTAATTCTAAATTGCATTAAATGTTTTTGAATAGATGAGTAAGAACATTTAACATTTACCAGTTATGAGTTACAGATACTTTTTAGAGATGTTTAAGATTTTAATTCTTTGGCTTTGTTAGACTACCAATAGCAGATGTTGGGCTGTTTGAATTGCCTTTTGTCCGGTCCCTCCATTAGTCTGTCTGTCTTTTGATCGTCAGATGAATGTTAAGGGAAATGGCCCTCTTGGTCTTTTAAACGCTTCTTGTCCAGAATACCTGCTTGGATTTTGACTAGTCCAGAACATCCTTGGGCGAAACGGTTACTATTTAAAACATACAGAATTTATAGCTCCATGGGGAAGAGGGGTGTACCCAAAATTTGATATTGTGGTAAACCTTTGAAATCCTGTTGGGATGAAGGAATTCAGATGAGATTTGGCTAGGAGCCATAATTTGGCTTAGGGATATTGTATTAACAGAGGGCCTTCTCCCACCCCACAGTTGTAGAAGAGAGGCAAGGCTATAACAGTAAATAAAAAAAGATTGTTTTTTATTCAGAGGATGGAACAGAGTTGCATTTAAAGTGGGCTGGCAGTTACCATGAAGGACATGTTAGACTTGATTTTCTACGAAAAAACAGTTACCATGGACACAAAGAAACAGTGTCACGACATCAGGTCTGTTGATGTTTTAGAAATTTATTGTAGTTCTCTGGTTTCCTCACAGAGTTTGACCCCTCGTACACTTCCGTCCAGGCCAACAAAAGTGATTGATATAAGTTGGAAGGACTGGCTTCGCAATGGTTGTAAAATAGATAAAGTTTATTAAGTTTAATTCACTGATGTCATGTCAACAATTCAATCCAGTCAATGATGTGAGGCATTGGGACTAACACAAACATGTATGAGTAATAAAACCAGCATTATAACAGAAAAATAATCATTCATTCTCGTGTTGGTGAGATAGGGTGATCTCAACAACACCCTTCTTGAGGCAGGAGGGGCAGAGCTCAATGGAAAATCTATCAATTTCTTAAAAATCTATTTGGTTTTTAGAAATTGCAGGATGTTGTAGGAATTCAGTCTGAAGCATGCTTGGGTGAAGGGAAATCAGTTTTCTATAAATGGTGGGTCTGACTGAAATACACTAGAGGAATAGGAGCAATTTTTAAAAAGAAACATTCTTTTTATGTAGGAGTGCCTGGATTCTGTCCCAATTTTGTCCGAGGCATGCTTGACTGAAGGGGATCAATTTTATTTAACATAGGGCTTGTAGTAATGATTTATTTTTGTCCAGATTTAATCTGAAGCATCCTTGATGAAGAGAACTTAGTTTTGTGCATTTAACCCCCTTTGGGAGGAGAGGCAGAGCCAAATAGGGGAAATAGATACAAGTGAATTTGAATAATTTTCCTCAAGTTTAGATCCATAAATTTCATCAAACTCAACCCATTGAGCAATGTAGGCCTATGGGACTCTTGTTAACTAAATTAGCGGCAGTTTGATTCAACTATGTTTCAAAAAGTATCTTAGTCTTATCCTCCAATTTCTGTCCATTTTAAATTCTTGATAAAGGCAATGCATTCTGATATACTTTTAACTGTTTCTATTTTTAGCCCACCATCATGAGATGGTGGGGTATTCAAATCGCCCTGCGTCCGTGGTCTGTCGTCCGTCCGTCCATCCGTCCATCCGTCCGTCCGTAAACAATTCTTGTTACCGCTATTTCTGGAAAAGTACTGGATGGATCTTTCTCAAATTTCATATGCAGGTTCCCTTTGGTCCCTAGTTGTGCATTGTACCTTTTTTGGATTGATTCGAATTCAAGATGGCCGACAGGTGGCCATCTTGGATTTTGGAAGTAAAAGTTTGTTACCGCTATTTCTTGGAAAGTACTGGATGGATCTTTCTCAAATTTCATATGCAGGTTCCCCTTGGTCCCTAGTTGTGCATTGTACCTTTTTTGGATTGATTCGAATTCAAGATGGCCGAAAGGTGGCCATCTTGGATTTTGGAAGTAAAAGTTTGTTACCGCTATTTCTTGGAAAGTACTGGATGGATCTTTCTCAAATTTCATATGCAGTTTCTCTTTGGTCCCTAGTTGTGCATTGTACCTTTTTTGGACTGATTTGAAATCAAGGTGGCCCACAGGCAGCCATCTTGGATGTCGACAGTAATACAGCACAAGCATATTGTCCATTATCCACCTGTAACTGATTGCTTTCTAATAATACTTTGGGATCTTTTTCAAATGATATTTGCTAATAGGTGCTTAATAAAATTATCTTGTGCCATCATTGAGTACATTCAATGAAGACCAATTCATGAACATTTACAAAACCTGTAACAAACAAACAAAAATAAACAAATCTTCAAGAACTGAAAACAGATCCTCAAATGGTGTGCGCCAAGATCCCTCTGGGATCTCTTGTGTTGTTATATTGTCCATATCTTGAAATCCATGATAGGGATGTATAACCTTCAGTTACTGCCCTCACTTGTTTGTCACTTAATTGTGAATGCCTTATTACAGATAGTAGAATGATGACATAATAAACATGTAAACATGTTAACAAGGATTTTAACAGTTTTACCTGGTTGCAACTTCTTGAGAATCTCTGAATTGTCTGAAATTCTTACATTACAGATGGTAGTCTCTGGTTGTGCATTGAGACTGATTAAAACATTTTGATATGGAGTGTACTTTTTTGTAAATAAAGGCTTACAAGCAGCCTTCAAGGACTTTGACAGTTATAATTTGTTTTATTTCTTTAATTTTCAGCCCACCATTATATTTAAATCATTCTGTGCCCATGGTCAATGGTCCTTCCGCCCGTCTGTCCGTAAACAAATTTTGTGATTGCTATTTCTTGAGAAGTACAGGATGGATCTTTCTCAATTTGCATATCTAAGTTCCCCTTGGTCCCTAGTTGTGCCCGTTTGATTTTGGGGTTTATCAAAAAAAAAAATGGCTGACAGACAGTCATCAGATTTTTTCAATGAGGTTTGTTATGCTTTTTCTTGAAAAGTACTTGATGGATCTTTCTTAATTTCATATGTAGGTTCCACTTGTCCTCTAGTTGTGCCCATGAAATTTGTGACTGATCATAAAAACAAAATGGCAAACAGACGGACATCTAGGATTTTTTTACTTTTGAAAGTTTGTTATCACTATCTCTTGAGAACCACTCTCTAGAGCTTTCTCAAATTTCTTGTGTAGTTTCCTTTAGGTCCTTTCTTGTGCCTGTTTGAGTTTGGGACTGATCAGAAAAACAAAATCGCCAACAGGCAGCCATCTTGGATTTTGCCTAGTAAAGATTGTTATTGCTATTTTTGAAGAAGTACTGAGTAGATTTCTCTCAAATTTCTTACATATGATCATGTTGGTCTCTCCTTGTGCTCGATTTTGGAACTGATCAGAAGAAACGAAATGGCATCCAAATGGCCAGTTTGAATTTGGCATGTGTCATCGCTTTTTATACGAAGGAATGTCCAAATATCTTAATGTTAAGAGCAAAACACAGAGAAGAGAAAAAAGGGAAAAGATCCTATTTTAAAGAGCATATAAAGATCAAACAATGACGGGCACCAAGATCCCTTTGGGATGTGTTGTTTTGCATTGAGAATTACTGGATATGTAATTCTTAAGTATATTGATAATAATAAACTTGATTTATTTTACAACAATTGTAAAGAAGTTTTTCCAATTTATGTTAATTACTCTTGTTGGCCCGGATGGAAGTGCACAAGGGGTCTTATTGTGGGAGGAAACCAGATTCCCTGGGGAAAATCCATGTGGTCGGGCAGGTGACCCCATACCTTTTCACGTCCATTCGAGGAATCAAACCCCAGACGGCTTAGTGAAAGGCGAGTGCGTTACCACTGCGCTGCCCGACCACCCTTGTATGTATGTTTTCTTTTGTCCCTAGAAATGTGTACATTGATTACAAGATGTGTATATTTGATTTTGGAGACAGTTTCAAAGAAAAGAAAAATCACACAATGATGTTGCGAATATCTCTCTCAGGATCTATTAGTGCAGTCAACATATGGTTTAACCTCCAACTAATTGCAACAGAAACGATTCTTGTTGAAATGTAATCAGAATATGTGTAAATAAAACATACTGAAAGTCTAGAAAACTCTAAATAGGGGAACATTCTATATTTTGCGTTTAAAAATTGCAAAAGTATGTTAGTATTCATTTACGCTTATGGGCCGCCGTACATATAAAGGGAGGTCAATCCTGCGCAGAATATGCTTGTTTGCCTACGACAATGGCAACTTTAAAAAACATCTCAAAGCTGTTCTAATCATGGTAAGTGACTTCTGATACACCATTTCCATTGTTATTATGATATTTATGGTATAATGAATTAAGCATCATAAAGAAAATCAGTTTTCTGTGACATATTTGATTTTTATCATTTGACACTCATGACGTCTGCTTGTGACACTGACTCTACAACATGTACGAACCCTACATTTTGTAGATATTGCTATGAAAAATTGTTTTATATGGCACAGTCTGAAAAAGATAACCAATACAATTAATGGTGTTATTTGATCGCGATGAGAAAATGTGATCACATGTAAATGTAAACGACTGGTATTTTTGGTTGAAAAAATCTGTGGAAACCTATAAGCACTCTATTAACCCGCTTCATATATGTTACAACAAATATTGAAATGTAAATGGTAATTTACATGTGTTTTCGAAAGTGTAGTTTTTTGTGCATATACAACTTATTGTTCCATATTTAACCACATTTAAAATCATTCTGTAAAGCTTGACTTCGAACTAGAACATTGGGTAATTTGGAGAGACAGAGGAATGGTTTGAAACCTGGAAATTATTTGATTATCTATTAAGTGGATTTGGCAGATGTTTTACATGTATATAATTGTTAAATATTGAAAAGTAAATCATCATGTCACAGAATACACTGTTTAATAAAAGCAATGTTCAGTGCTGAATAAAATAGATGTTTTTTTTAGAAAACTATCACCTAAGTACATGTAGCAAATTTTTAAAAGCTATGTCTAGACTAATGCTACATATATCACTGAATGACAATGGTTTATATGATCAATCCTATTTCATTTGTACATTTGTTTATTTTGATTTTTTTGTTTGTGTTTTGTTTTATTGAATATATTTTCTTTTTCATTTTAAATCTACACAGATATACTTAAATAGGACCGGATGTCATTGACCACCAAAAACGGAGATCAGTTCTAATTAAAAGGTGGAGTAATTGTCTTATTTGTATATTGTTTATTCTGGTTTTTTTTTTTCCAATTACTACTTAATTTGTTTATTTATTTTATTAAATGCACTTTTATTACGGAGCATATACAAAAAATATATATGTACATCATCATTTGTATATCATGATTTACTTTTTACATTTTTATTGTAGGAAAACATATGTGCCTGTCATAGACGGTGAAGATATGGTCACTTTTACAGAAAAAGGTAGCAGTGGCGTGCACAATGCCAGCAATGTACATGGTGATGTTAACACGGTCAACACACGTACACTTGTGCTAAAGTTCATTGGCGTCAGTATTACAATAAAAACGTTATACAAAGAGACGTTTCAATATACCATGCATAGTCCATAGATAGATATTCAAAACATTGTTCTCTTCATTTGAATGATGATGAGCAACTT